GAATACTCATGTATTTAATGAGGCAAATCTGCAGCAAAAGACCTGTTTAAAGTATTGAAAAGTAAAGATGTCTCTTTGAAGACTAAGGTGTGCCTGGTCCAAGTCATAGTATCTTCAGTGATTTAGAGGAAGACCCCCAACAAGATGGATTGGCCACATAGCAGCATTGATGAACTCAAGCATGGCAACAGTAGTGAGGTTGGCCCAGGATCAGACATTGTTTCGTTCTGCTGTGAATAAGGTGCATGAGTCAGTACTGGCTCAATGGCACCTAACAACAACAATAACAACAACAACAGTATGCGTGCAGATGCTGGACAATGAATACAGAAGACCGATGGAGAATTAATGCCTTTGGATTATGATGTTGGTGAAGAATTTTAAATATGCCAGGGATGGCCAAAAGAATGACTAAATCTGTCCTAGAAGTACAGCCAATATGATCCAGATGAGTTAAGATGGCAAGACTTTGTCTCATGTACTTTGGACATAACAGGAAGAGAAACCAGTCCATGGAAAAGGACATGGTGTTTGATAGTGGCTCAGTGAAAAAGTGGAAGGCCCTCAACCAGATAGATTGACACAGTGGTTGCAACAGTGGGCTCAAACAGAGCAATGGTTCTGAGGATGGTACAGGACCAGGCAGTGTTTTATTCTGTTGTATAATGGTCACTGCTAATTGGAACTGACTCAGTGGCACCTAACAACTACATACCTCAGTCATGCAGATAGTTAAGTTCTCAACACCTAGCTGAAAGGTTGACTGTTCAAATCCACCTAGAGGTGCCTAGGAAGGCATGTCTACCATGTGCTTTCAAAAGTCACAGCCTTGAACAAACAAGATGGCGGATCAGGTGGAAGTGCAGTGAGGAGCTCCATCAGCAACAACACAAAATACCAGAACTCTGAACCGTATATAAAGAAATATTTAGAAGGTTGGAAGGTTTACAGCTAGGGGACTCTAGCAGAAGCAAGAAATCTGCTCCCGGATCCGCCATATTGAGAGAGACCAAGCAGGGGAAGGGTCAGAGCAGCTACAGACAACTGACAGAATCACGAAGATACAGGTTTGGACACTCTTTTTTGTTGTATCTGTTCATTGGTCCCTCGGTGTCTGTGTCCCTCCATTCTGGTGATTAGAGGGGATGCCCGAATGAGCAGACACCCTACCTCCACCCCTGGAGGGTTCTATTATGTATGCACACAGAGCTCCTCAAAATTTAAAGGGACAGTGTCCACTTAAAACCAAGAGGCAGCACAAAGCGGCCACAGCTGATCCTGAACTGTTTATCACTAGGAAAAAGGCCTGAACGGGGATTGTGGAGCAGGATAGGCTGATAATTTAAAAGGAAACAGGCTGATAATTAAATCCTGAGTTACATCATAACGACCAACAGTGGCATCTTGAAATTTCTTAGGAAGAATAGTGAAAAGGGAAGCCCATCTCCTCATCACATCTACCTAGAGGCAATCCTAAAACATAAAAAATACCAAAATACCCACCCATCTAAGTATTAAGGCCACAGATAACTCCTGAATAAGCCCCCCAAAAAGAAACAGATGACCATATAAGCA